CATTCTCTTTACTTAAAGGCATTAACTTTTACATCTAATAAATCAGTAGAAGCATAAATTTGTGTTTTCCAATTTTTACAGTGCATGACAAGCCAAGCAGACAGATGTCTGGTAGCAGTCGGTCCCTGTAGGTATTCTGGTTCGTAGTTATGACAGATCTTTTAAAAAGTAGATAATTACTCCAGTAATGAAAATACTTCCTGGGAAGGAAGACAGAAGAAGAAAATAGCAAGAGGAGATAGAAATGAAAGAAATAGAAACAAACAACGAAATCACTGAAAAGAGAACAAAAAAGGGAAGGGGAAAAATAAATTAACCTTTTTCTAGTGAGGGGTGGTTTTATGCTATCCCAGATAATCTTTTAAAAATTATCTCAGGCCTTCTAATAATAGCAGTAGTGTGGTTTTATTGTTTTGTTTATTTGGTTTTTGTCTTATATTTGGGGGATAAGGTGGGGTTCTGCTGTTCTAGCCACTATTTGTGTTGTCTATTTTAATAGGCTGTCAAATGTATACTGTTAAATGAGCTTGGGATTCTTGCATTCATGTTTCTTCATTATTTCATTTAGGCAATTGAGAATTTTGAACCAGCAACTTAGAGAACGAGAAAAAACTCAAAAGTCATCTGGTTCTCTGGAATGCAACCTTGAATGTAGGTAAAAGAACTTAAGAACTGATGGTAAATTCTTTGTGGCTCTGGAGATGTTGATAAAGAATTGAACTTTCTTAATTACTTTGTGTTAAGTGGACTTTTTGTTAAGAATCAACATTAAAAAAGTAAGAATAATACTCATTAAAATTTAAAATAGTGCAGAAACACAAAAATAAAAGATTCGTGCTGTGACTTCCCGATAATACCCCTATTTTTTAAATTATTTATATTTGGCTGCATTGGGTCTTCATTGCTGCTCACAGGCTTTCTCTAGTTGCAGCAAGCAGAGGCTACTCTTCGTTGTGGTGCACGGGCTTCTCATTGTGGTGGCTTCTCTTGTTGCAGAGCACAGGCTCTAGGAGTGCAAGCTTCAGTAGTTGTGGCACGAGGGCTCAGTAGTTGTGGCTCACGGGCTCTAGAGCACAGGCTCAGTAGTTGTGGCACACGGGCTTAGTTGCTCCGTGGCATGTGGGACTTTCCCAGACCAGGGCTTGAACCCATGTCCCCTGCACTGGCAGGCGGATTCTTACCCACTGCGCCGCCAGGGAAGTCCCAATACCTCTATTTTTTTAAAAAAAGACTGTATTTCCTTTCACATGTCTCCTGTTCATATATAATTGAATTATTTCATAAATACTGCGTATCTACTAACAGATGGGCACTAATAGAACTATATATGTACTTTTGTGAAAATGAGATTTCACTGTATATACTCCTGCAGCTTGTATTTATTCACTTAATATGTAGTGGACATTTTTCTCTATCAAAATACATAAATATGTTTCGTTCTGTTTAAGAACTGTGTAGATATTCTGTTTATGTAGTTCTGTCATAATGTATTTAAAGTCCTCTGCCAATAGATATCTAGGTACTTTCCCCATTTTCCCAGTACAAATAATCCTGCAATGAAAATCCTTGTACAAATGTCTTTGTGCACATGTGTGACTATTTTTGTAGATTATAGCCATAGAATTTCTGAGTCAAAGGGTATATACTGTTGCAGTTTTGACAGATATTGCCAAGTTGTCCTTATGGATCATAGAACTTAAAGTTAAAGAAAAGAAAAAAAAAACTAATAGTACTAGAGGGGAAGATAAGAACTTTTTTTGTATTCTTAGGAACTTTTCCTAAGCCCAACAAAAACTCACATGCTACAAAGGAAAGACTGAAAAAGCATGTCCCAGAAATCTTTTTCATTTTATGCACAACAAAATTATAAATGCATTCAAAAAGCATCAACAAAATAGGGAAATTTTTTTTGTGTGATATGACAAAGGCTTGATTTTCCTAATATATAAAAATATCTCTTACAAAGAAATTTTAAAGATATAAGCACCCAGCAGAACACGCACTTCATAAACGCATTCAACTTCACCAGAGTAATTTTGCAAAAGATCACTCTGGTTCCATTATGAATAAACCATGGGGGTGGGTGGAAGAGAGGAGGCCAAGATGGAAAGTGAGGAGATCAGTGGTTGCCATTCTAAGCAGCCTATCTTTTTTTATTCTCTACCATCTCCCTTCTTGTTGCCTTGAGAGCATGTATTGCTATTCATAATTACTTGTTTGCTATCAGCTCCATGAGAGCAGGAACCATGTCTCTCTTGTTCACCACTGTATGCCCAGATTCCACTTCACTCAAGGCTGCAACTGTTAAATGAAAGGTGCCATTTTATAGCCATTAGAAAGAATGTGATAGATCTGTGTGCTGATACATAACAATCTTATGGAGGGGGAAAAGGGAAGGTTAGAAACTGTGGGTATAGTATGATTCATTTATGCTTAAATATATGTTATATGCAAAAGTATTTTCCAGAAGGATATCAAAGTTAATATTGCTTCTTGGGGGAGAGTGGAGGTGGGGTGGGAAGGGAGACTTTTCATTGAGAATCATTTGGTATCATTGGTATTTCATGGTGTTTGAATTTTTTTTACTTTGTATATATATTACTTTTTTGTTAAGAAAGGTAAATGAATTTTTTTTACTTTGTATATATATTATTTTTTTGTTAAAAAAGGTAAAAAAATTAACGCCTGAAATATCAATTGGAGAAGAAAGATATGACTTCTGCCAATCAGTTTTTTTAAATACATTTAGTATTTACATAGAACTGCTCAAGCATATAATTTTTAAGCAAAATCAATAAATTCTAAGCCTTTTCTTTTAAAAAAAACAGCTTTTCCAGGTTTGTAGTTTTTAAATTGGGGTAATAATTATTTGATCTATTTTGTCTTACAGTGTTTTCTCTTCAATCATTGAACAAGTCACTGCAAAATCAATTACAGGAGTCACTAAAGAGCCAAGAATTACTACAGAGTAAAAATGAAGAGCTTTTAAAAGTGATAGAAAGTCAGAAAGATGAAAACAAAAAGTTTGCTGGTATATTTAAAGAGAAAGATCAAACTTTACTTGAAAATAAACAGCAATTTGACATTGAGACAACAAGAATGAAAATTGGTATGTGTTTGAACTACAGTTATGGTCACTTTTTAAAAAGTAATGGGGGCTACCCTGGTGGTGCAGTGGTTGAGAGTTCGCCTGCCAATGCAGGGGACACGGGTTCGTGCCCTGGTCCGGGAAGATCCCACATGCCGTGGGGCGGCTGGGCCCGTGAGCCATGGCCACTGAGCCTGCGCGTCCGGAGCCTGGGCTCCGCAACAGGAGAGGCCACAACAGTGAGAGGCCCGCGTACCGCAAAAAAAAAAAAAAAAAAAAAGTAATAGGGAAACTAAAACTTCTTTTTTGTTTTAGAATTGGAGGAAGCTTTAGTCAATGTGAAAAGCTCCCGGTTTAAGTTAGAAGCTGCAGAAAAGGAAAATCAGATTTTGGGAATAACATTACGTCAGCGTGATGCTGAGGTGACTCGACTAAGAGAATTAACCAGGTAATATTGACATCATTTGAATAACTTATGCCTTTTGTTAGATGTATTTATGAACTTCAAAATAATTTTGGACCTGCTTTCTTACCCCTACCCTTTTCTCAATGTTTTTGCTAATTTCTAATGATGTTTTTTTCTGTTCCAGTTAAGGTAAATTCCAAACATGGCTAACTGCTTTTTTAAACCATGTGAAAAGGCCTCTGATGAGGAGCTAAAGACTTATTTGGCAAAATGGTTGAGAGCTCTCGGAAGCCAGAGAAACCTGAGTGGAATCCTAGCTCTACCATGTATTAGCTGTATGACTCTGAGCAAGATAGTTAACCTTTCTAAACCTTACCTGTAAGATGGGGACATGATTAGGGTTGATAGAAGGACTAAGAAATCATTCATGAAAAGCACTTAGCACAGTAAGCCCTCATTCATAAGATCTTGGGTAAGTCATTTTAGCCTCTTTGAGCCTCATTCATTTCATCAGTAAAATGAGGGAGTTGGCAGCAACTTCTAAGATCCCTTTATTCCTTAACATGTCTTACATAAATAAAACCACCTCACTCAATTTTTAAATGATATGCACTTATAAAGTTCAGTTTTCTCTTGAGATGGTTCACGAGAATTAGATTTTCAACAAATTTTTTAAATCCTAGAGAAGTCAGTTATTTTACGCCTGAATATCATCAGATCTGACCATGCCTTTGAATGATCCTGGAAATTCATAGTTCTAAACATAAAACAATCCTGAATATGAAACAATCTTCTTCGTACTTCAAATGAGAAGACCCATTTTGAATTACAAACTTTTTTTCCCAATTTTGAACTGTAAACTTTTAGGGAAATAGGTGAAATATATATATAAATAATAGTATATATAATATTAATTTTGTTTTGTAAACATATTTGAAGTGACTTTATAAAAGCTATTTTTAATATAGAAATATCACTTTTTTTCCTCATTCATCTTTCACAGAATAATTTCACTCAAAATTTTATTGAACAGTGAAAAAAACAAAATACACGTCTTGTGTCCATGTAGTATTATAATTATTTAGGTTCTAGTCAGAGTTTCTAAAAATTGGTATATACCACTCTTGTTCAAAGTGAAGTAATTAGGAGAATGTCCCTTCTTAGGAAAGTCATTATAAGGTCTCCAAAGAAAAGCGTCTTCTTTTTTCTGAGGAGTAATTTGGGGTAAAAATTCTGTTATTTTTAAATATTTATGGTAAAAGAAGCCAATCACAATAAGCCACATATTATATGATTTTATTTCTAAGAAATGTCCAGAATAGGCAAACCCATGGAAACAAAAGGTAGATTAGTAGTTGCCAAGGGCTGGGAGAAGAGGGAAAGAATGGGCAGTGACTGCTAATGGGCACAGAGTTTCTTGTGAGGGTTCTGAAACTAGGTAGAGGTTATGGTTGTACAACTCTATGAATATACAAAAAACCCACTACATTGTACACTTTAAAATGCCATATTTTATAGTTTATAAATTATATATCAGTAAACTTTTTTTAAGTTAAAAAATAACTTTTTTAATACATTTTTTTTTTAACATATGTATTAAAGTATATATGGTATATAGTCAGTTTGGAAAAGAAAAACAGGACAGCAAGGTAACATGGTCAAGTTCCATGAGTGGTTGCTTAGGTGTCGCTGGCAGCATCTCCTCATTCTAGGGGGCATGGCTGTTGGCCCCAAGCAGAAGATCTAGCTCCCTGGGAGTTTTCTTCCCTCAATTTCTTTTTCTTACTACTAAACCCAGCTCCTTTATGGGCATGACATTAGAAGCTGATGTTATCTTTTATTTATAAAGCACTCGGATTTTTTTCAAAGTCCTCTCTTTATTATTTCATTTGTCCTCATCTATGGAGGGAAGATTTAAATATCTGCATTTTCATGGTTGGGGAAACTGGGGCCATGTAAGTTAAATATTAATAGAGAGTTAATAACGGAGCTGGGACTAGAACTCACATCTCTTAATTCCTAGCCATGTTTTCTTTCACCCTCATACATGGCATGGTCTTAACTAAAACAGTTTATTCCTGGTGATGACTCCGTCCCTAATCTAGTCTACGTAAACCTTAGCATTTTTTCCCCGGGGAGATGGATGGATAAATGGATGGGTTCATTTGCTTATTCATTTATTCAACAAACATTTATTGTATACTGTAGTCCAAATATATGAGTGTGAAACACACACAAATATATTTAATCATTTTAGTTGCTAAATATCCACATCTTTAAGCAAAAAGCTATTCTAGTTCTTTGATGATGTATGAAGGGAAATAACAGCTTTTTTTAAGGATAAACATGTGTGGTACATTTGTGAAGAAAATTGATAGCAAAAATGTAAGAATGGTTTTCAGAGTAAGTAATAGTACAGTTATTCTAGAAATTAGCATAAATGGAAGCCCAAAGAAATGAAGGCACATACCTGACTTTCACACCTAGTTGGGACGTGAGCTGGACTTCAGCCAAGACTTCAGATTCCCTCTTTAGCCTTGCAACGACAATGGATTCGTTTGCCAGTTGGAGCCTCTTCTTAACATTTACCCTAATATAGAAACTGAGAAAGGTAATTAATTCTTATATATTATCTGCTTTTAGAAAAGACTGTGTCTAAAATGTTAAATGTAGACATTTTGTTCTCCTTTTCTTAAGACTCAAGAACTTTCCTGTCAATTTTTTTCCGTTGTTGTAAGGACCTTTTCTTTTTATGCTGAGCATAAATCCTGCCTCATGACTACTATTTCACCTATTAGTCAGACTAACTAGACTCTAAATGATTATAGAAACATAGTAGGCAGGCTTAGCACAGTGTCTTATAGTTCTACCACTGCATTTTCTGAAGATTCAGTACTAGCTTCAAAATGCTAAGTATATATACCCACTGGTGGCAATTTTTGTTTTGCCCTTTAAATTAAAGAGCAAAACAACAAAAGAAAATGCTCTTGGAGCTCAGATGTCAAAATTCACCCACACTGGTGATTTATGATATGTTTGGTGGTACCCTATGTAATTCAATTAATTAGGAACATTTCCAGTACTATAGCTGGGCTAACTGTGACCATTTAAATTTTACTTTTGACATTAGAGAGTAAAGCAATGACATCTGACAATACAGATAAATCTTCATGTTCATCTATCCCATATCTTTTCGCTATAGCCATATACCTCAGATAGGTATATATTTTTGTGTGTGTGTTAAATAGTCTCAGAGATTTCACAAAATTTTTTAATGCCTTTCTCAGACTACTGGGGAGGGATAATGGAGCTAGAAGTTTCACATACAAGTTCTAAACAGATTTCCTAAACCATTTCTTTCTTCAACCTTCAATAGTTTTTTGTTTTGTTTTGTTTTGTTTTGCGGTACGCGGGCCTCTCACTGTTGTGGCCTCTCCCGTTGCGGGGCACAGGTTCCGGACGCGCAGGCTCAGCGGCCATGGCTCACGGGCCCAGCCACTCTGCAGCATGTGGGATCTTCCCGTACCAGGGCACGAACCCATGTCTCCTGCATCGGCAGGCGGACTCTCAACCACTGTGCCACCAGGGAAACCCCCTTCAATAGTTTTGAAATACATCTTTATCACTTTTTAAAGATTTTACTAGAATACATGTTATAAAACCATTAAAATGTGAGGGAAATTAATATATTTTTCAGTAAATAAGTAGTAAATATTCTTCTAATAGCTTCTGAGAGCACTCTTACAAGTGCTGATAGTTATTTAAATTAGTATATTTTTATAAATAGCCAAGAAAGAACTTTACATTTCTTATTATAAAAATGTGCCAGTTTTCCAAACGTTAAAAATCAGTGTGTTTAGCTGAGTCTCATATAATAGAAACACAAATATAACTACTTTGTAGCTATCTAGGTGCTTGTATTGCTTCCTTTTGAATTTTGGCCTATTTTTACTTACAGAGATTTAATTTCAAAGACGATGGTGAATCACATTTTGTTTACACATGAGAAGCTTGGTGATTGCTATTAATTTCCAGAGATTAAACTCTTAATACATTGTCCTTTCCTTCCTTTCTGTATTGCAGATTTTGTGCACAGCAGAGGTAACATTTTTAAGTCTGGAAAGGAGCTTCAACATAAGGATTTCTTTACTAAAAATAAATAAAAATAAAAATCGCAGTGTGCAGTCTTGTTGAATTAACTAGTGGATCATTATTCATTACAGCATTTCTTTAAACATACATTTCTATAGCATATTTTTTAATCTTTTAATAGTAGCTCATTAGCTTCTTGAAAGAGGTATGAGGAAAAAGTGGCTGGAGCCATTGCCATTTGAATGGTAATCAGAACTCAAAACATAGCATATTTAAGTTGACAGTGAAAGCCCGGTTGGAAAAAAACTATTTTTTTCCTTTTGCAGGAAAAGAATCACTCATTCTATATCCAAAGATATAATCACTGCTAACGGTTTTGTATAAAGATTCCTTTTAGTATATTATTTGGATGTGTGTAACTGTTTTTACAAAAGTAATATTGTTATTGTGTTGCTTATGGTCTGATCTTTTAAATTTAACCTGGTATAATGAACATTTTCTTATCAATAAATATTCTTTACAACATGGCTATAGATGGTTGTGATGCAGTAAGACCATAGTTTACCTAAATCAGTCCACAGTATTTGAGGATATTAACCCCATTTATTTTCTATTGTAAATTACATCTTTGTAAATATATCTCTGGGCACAGCCTCTTGGTGAATATCAGTATGATAAAGTTCTAGAAGTGCAACTTGGTGGGTCAAAAGGTGTGGGATATGCAAATCTTTAAGGCTTCTGATAGATTGCTGGTCTGCTTAGAGAGTGTACACTCCCACTAGTAATACCTGCTTCTCCAAGCTTCTCTAACAATGGATATTCTTATTTTCCTATGTTAGCTTGATAGGCCAAAAAAAATCACATTTAAAAAATTTTAATTTCACTGATAAGAGTTGAACTTTTAAAACATGCTTATTGGCTAATTGTAGTCTTTTAAAATTACCTGTTGATGTTCTTTTTTAAAAATTGGTGTGTTTCTTTTTCTTATCTGTATTTAAGGGTGTATTATGATTCAATTCAAATAGACTAAAGCCTTGGTATAAAATGGTTTTAATAGGACTACTAATAAAAGCTGCCACGAAATAAAAACCCACTTAGCCGGAAACTGTGCTAGGCACTTTACCCTTATGTTTTATTATTTTATCTTATTTAATGTTCACTCTAATTCTGAAGCAGTTACCTTCATTTTGCAATTGAAAAACTTGAGATTCAGGAAGTTTGAGTGACTTGCCCAAGATCACAGCTAGCGATAGTGTGAAGATATGATTCCATTTCTGTCTGACTTCAAACCCTGTGTGGTTTTCCTTATATCACACTTTTCCTGGAGCCTAGCTGTTGCTACCTAATTATACTAGATAATTATCTCTATCCTTTTTTTTTTACCCAGCATTATTCCAGCGTCCTTTGCATATATATTTTGAATGGAAAGTAATTTAATTACTAACAGAATCCACTAACAAATGAGTAGTACATTTACCATTTTGCAATGTTGCTCAAAAATACATCATCTGTACCTTAAGAGAGAAATTTTTCTGAGCCTCTATTTTTAGATATAATAATAATCGATCTGATGCAGACCAAGATCTTTTATCATTTCTTATTTTAATTTACTCTTTCCAGAGCATATTCTGTGATTTTTGGCTTTTAGTTACTTTTTCCTGTATTAAGAACCAGGTGCTTGCCTCAAATACTTTCTTTTAAAGATGAGGTATATTTAAATAAATGTAAGAAATGGGTACAAAGAAATAATTACTGTACTAAATTCTTCTTAACAGAACTTTACAGACCAGTATGGCAAAGCTTCTCTCAGATCTTAGTATGGACACTGCTCGCTGCAAGTCTGGGAATAATCTTACGAAATCACTTCTGAACATTTATGAAAAACAACCTCAACATGACCGAATCCCTGCTCACACTTCCATAATGAGCTATCTAAATAAGTTAGAACCAGTTCACAGTACTATTACACGTTCAGAGCCACTTTCTACAATTAACAATGAGGAAAACACAATGCCAGATAGACCCTATGAAAATGTTCTGCCCTCTAAAGGCCCTCAACATACTAATGCTAGGAACATGGTGGAAGCATCAGCCCCTGGAATCATTTCTGCCCTTTCAAAACAGGATTCTGATGAGGAGAGTGAAATTACAACTTTAATAGAAGATGAGTGTAATTTGGATAAGACAATTTACATTCCGTTTGCTAGAAGCACTTCTAAAAAGAAATCACCACTATCTAAGAGATTATCCCTCCAGCCACAGATCAGTGTTGCTCCACCGCAAATGGTCAGTGGACTTGTTGCTGAAAAAGAAAATAAATTGTGTGCACCTGGAATTTGTTCCTCTTCCAAAGAGGAAGGAGTTGCACCTGAGAAACTTTCCAGAACAGCTGATATGGAGGACAAGCAACTCCTCAGGAAAATAAAGGAAGCCATTCGCAAGATCCCTCCTGCCGCTGAGGAGCCAGAGGCATTGGCTGCGTGTCATGGCCCCTCCACTTGTCAGAACAGCAGCATTCAAGTGAAAAGTAGTGCAGTCTCTGATGGTAGCTTTTTAAATTCTGATTTAACCTCTGACTGGAGCACTTCTTTTTCAACGTTCACTTCTCGTGATGAACAAGACTTCCAAAATGGCCTTGCAGCACTGGATGCCAACATTGCTAGACTCCAGAAGTCCTTGAGGACTGGTCTTCTGGAGACGTAAACTCAGAAGAAAAGTTGTTTTTAAGAATAGAACTTGGCTACATTGAATATATATTTTAAATTCCTTTAAAGTTTTATATTAATTATGTGTGAAATAATAAATTGTATGAATAGTAAATTTATTATTGAAATATATTGACACTGGAACTTTTAAAAACAAGTCATCTTAAGAAATTGACATTTGCTAAGAGAAGAAGGTTGTGTGTAACTAGGAAAATATTGTAAGTATTGTAAATAATATTTAATTTAGTATTTATCAATTAAGAGTTTATTCTTACTCTGCTGGGCTAAGGGTGCAGGTTGGAAGGACTCTGGTTATTCTAAAGGATAATGGGAAGGGAGTCTCTGGGTACAATTTACTATATTAAAACTAGAGTTTCTTTTCTCTTTCAGGATTCCTGTTTGGTTTTTAATGGCATTGTGTTTTTATGTGGGATGCTCTGTGCTACAGGCTGGTGTTATTGGTGAGACATATAAACATTTATTTTAAGAGAAAAAGTGCCAATATCTCTATTTTAAAAAATCATTGATTGGTCCAAGAAAATATAGATAACATCCTAAGTTAGCATATGGTTTCTTAAAACTTTGGCACTTTATTTTTGTCACAAATGCATTTAAGACCATTAAAAAGTAAAAGACTGATAAATGCTAACAAAGAAGTTTTAGTTTTGGAAATTTGGTTTTTTAAATAAAGAAGTGTTTGTTTTTTGTCATTATATTTGAACATGATGGACTTTTTTAAAACAATATTTATTTATTTATTTTGGCTGCGCCAGGTCTTAGTCAAGGCAGATGGGATCTTCATTGTGGCATGCGGGATCTTTTAGTTGCAGCATGCGGACTCTTTAGTTGCTGCATACGGACTCTTTAGTTGCCGCATGCGAACTCTTAGTTGCGGCATGCAGACTTTTAGTTGTGGCATGCATGCAGGACCTAGTTCCCCGACCGAGGATCAAGCCTGGTCCCCCTGCATTGGGAGCGCAAAGTCTTACCCACTGGACCACCAGGGAAGTCTCTGAACATGATGGATTGTATAAATCTTGCACTGGTTGTAATTCTGCCTTTCTGGACCAATTTTTTCTTTTTTTCAGCTCTTTAGCTGAGAAGATTTTCTATTCCATAAATAATATGAATTAGGTTGGTCTGTGCTTCTCTAAACTAGCACTCCCTAACTACCTGGTATCATTTCCTTCCATGTAAACAGCACATTTTAACTCTTAGAAAACTGCGTGGTGTGCTATCACTGATACGTCATACAAGTCACCTCCCTGGTGTCATTGTATTTAGTGCTTGGGCAGGCTTTAGCATTAAAGAGTGTTCTGCTGGTCCCAGAACCTCTTCCTGCTGGTTTTTAAGTGTTGGGGCTACAGATTCTAAAGGACCCAGATATAGTCTCTTTGACATGTTCAGATTTTATAGAAAGAGGTTTCTTAGGTCTAAATATTAAATGAATTCTAAGCTATTTTTACAGAATTGTCCATTAATATTTTTAATTTCTTACTTCCAGTATTCATAAATTAATTCCTTGTTTTATGTGGAGGTAACAGTTCACAACCCTTGAACACATAAGTTCAGAAGTACAGTTCAGAAATACAAAATAATAAAGCAAGGGAGAAAATTTGTCATCTGTGTATTCCTAAATATTCAGTTGTTATTCATATGCAGAAGTAAATTCTTAAGATTATTATATGATATCCAAGAAGATTGTCCTCTTTTACCCTTAATATAGGATGGGCATCCTAACATGCAAAGAGACATTTTTAATGTTTATGGGTTCAGTTAACTAAGGGTTAATAATTTGATTGAAGAACAAATGAGACTAGAAAAATCCTTCGGGGACCTTTACCAGGAGCTTACTGCTTATTTGATTAAAGACATACACATGGCATAGAAACATGAAAGAATTTGGTTAAATTTTAGGATGGACTATGACCCTAGCAAAATGGATGGAATAGACAGTGAGTTTCATAGACGTTTAGAGTAGAAAGAAGTCCCAAAATGGTAG